GCTTGCTTGTTGTTCTGGAGAGGATGGAGAATCTGCCGGAGAGGAGGGGAGGAGGATCTGCCGGAGAGGAGGGGGAAGCTGCCAGAGAGGAGGGGGAGAAGCTGCTGTAGAGGAGGGGGAGAAGCTCAGATCCAGCCTGGGGGTGGGGGGAAACTGAAAATGGTTACAGGTCTCTCTCTCTCTCCCTCTAGTACCTGTTGGTGCCAAAACAGACTTTCCCGCCCTTTCCTTCCCTCCCAGTTATCTGTTTCCCGCCTAAACCACCCAGCTCTGTCTAAGGCGTCCTTATTTGCCTAAGGCAGGCAGAGTGGCGCCTAGGCGGACGCCTTGGACGCCTTAAGGACTAAGGCGGACGCCTTAGGCACACATGTAAGGCAAGGCCGGCGCCTTGTCTCCTGGGGGCGCCCTGACGCCCAGGCGTCGCCTAAGCGACGCCTTAGGGACGCCTTAAAAACAGAGCTCTCGCCCAAATGGGTTTCATACCCAAAGGACTGGCTAGTTTTTACGTTGGCTCGCCAAGCCTATCACAACCCTTAGATATGAAACCCTTTCACGAGGACTTCCCAGGAGGTCACCCATCCTTGTACTACTCTCGCTCAAATGGGTTTCATACCCATGGGACTGGCTAGTTGTTACGTTGGCTCGCCAAGCCTATCACAACCCTCCTCCTTTACCCGGGCTTGGGACCGGCTATGCCTAGAAGACATAGGCAACAGACTTATATTTAGAAATGGAGGGAGTACTTAGTAATTAATGATTAATAAAGTTAAATGATATAATCCCATAATTGAATTTTTGTTATTGCTTACCAATGACATTTCCTTTGTGCCAGCTGAGATTTATTTTGGGGTCTAGCTGTACTGTGTGGCATTTGTCACAGTGTGATATATCTCATGTGAATTAGATCATTGGAAACTTTGAATTTTACTGCTCAATGTAGTTTTATTCAAACTAGGTTAAAGTGTTCCAGTGATTATTTCATTATTTATTGGTCAAAGTGGGTTCTTAGTTTATAGTTTTACACTTTTACTCATGGATATATGAAAAGTTAGATGGAACGATCTTCTAGAGATTTATTCTTACATAAGTTGGCCCCTTAATTTTGTGATATAAACAAGACAAGCTGGTATATCAGAAAAGGCAGAAATGTTACATCCTGTGGAAGTAACTGGTGATACTGTTTTTTGCTTCCTGTGTCATCTCGAAATATGCATTGTTTGACTACAATTTGGTGACATTGAGAAAGACCAGGACTTATGCTAAATGTGTGTGATGCTGCTTGAAATGATGAATATAAATGGCGAGATGAGGGTATTAAAAAGCTTAAATGGACGCAATATATTTCACATGAATTAGATCGTTGCAAACTTTGAATTTTACTGCTCAATGTAGTTTTATTCAAGTTAGGTGAAAGTGTCTCAGTGATTTTTTGTTGGTCAAAGTGTGTCTTTAGTTTATAGTTTTACACCTGTACTCATCGATATATGAACCCAATTCAGATTTAGTGGAATGGTCTTATTATAGAAATCTATTCTGACATAAGTTGGTCCCTTCATTTTGTGGTATAAACAAGACAAGATTATACATCAGAAAGGGTAGAAATGTTATAGCCTGCATAGGTAACTGGCCATACTGTTTTTGCTTCTTGTCTCATTTCTTATTGCATTGTTTAACTACAATATTGGTGTGATGCTCCTTGAAATGATGAATATATAAATAGTCAGCTAAGGATATTAAAAATCTGAATGGGTGCCCAAATCCATATTGGATGCATTTTTTGTTGTATTGACTGGATGTGAAGTTATAACTTGTGAACAATCATAACTTGAGTGGGAAATAATGCTGGTTGCCGTTGCGCTCTTATTTAGTTTTGTTTATCAGTTCCTGATTTTGTTTTCCTCGGTTTTTTCGGCCCTACTTTCACGTGTTCTCTTCTCAGTTGGTCATATTTGTGTAGTGCTGTTGCTTTTCTTTTCTCTGATGTTCCTGTTTCTGTAGGGCTTAGGGGACAGTCAAACCGGAGGCTAATTTCTTTGGAAGAAGTTAAGCAGCATAAAACTGGAGATTGTATTTGGACAGTTTTGAAAGGCCGTGTGTACAATATTGGTCCCTACATGAAATTTCATCCTGGAGGTAACTTGTAAACTTTCAGCCTTGTGCAGGTTTTGGTTCTGTTTGAAGTATCAAACCTAATATCCAGTCCTTAGTATTTTCTGTTGGCTGTGAATTTAATTGCGCATTTGCAGGAGTTGATATGCTTATGAAAGGTGCTGGAAAAGACTGCACTGCTTTGTTCAGTATCCTTTTGATAGTATTATTATTGACGTCACAGTTAAATTGAAAATAGCTTGCCGCTTTTTGTAGACTGATGCAAGAACATAACATGCTTTAACATGTAGTAATAGCAACACACGGCGAACTTTATAGCTGGTGATATGAACAACATGATGATTGTGATTGTTAACTATCGTAGTTGTATGAAAAGGATTTGTGTGCATATATTATGCGAATTTTGATATGATTCCTTGACTTCCTCAAGATAAATACCATGCCTGGGTGAACGCAGAGTTCCTCTTGGAGAAATGCCTCGTGGGATACCTGGATCCCAATGAGTAGATCACGCTCTAGCTGGTTCTCAGGGTCGGGTACAGTTTGGTCGCCTGGAGATGATCTGAAGAATGTAAACAACGCGTTGATGCAGTATAGTGGAGATAGGTTGATCAACATTTTCTACAGAAAATAGATGAATAAACAAATTTGATGATGATGCTCCTCGCAAAACAAATTGTTATCACGGGTTGCTGTATAAAGAAGGTACTCCCTCTAGGCAGCTCTAGTACAATTTTACTAAAGTTGTACTATAGTTGCGTCAATTAATTTGGATCGGAGGGAGTACTACATGTTGGGTATCTGTGTTGCTGGGCGGTCTTATTTCAGAAAGGGCATAAAAATGGAGCTTCTGTTTTTATTGTTTGAAGGAGAAAGGCAAAGAAAGAGGAAACAGTGTAGTAGCATTCGAGCAGGAACAAATACTGACATACTACATGATCACAAGAAAAATAATAGAACAACATAGAATTTTCTGTTCTTGTATTTCATTTTACATGCATCTTAACGCTACATCCAAATTAACCCTTGGCAAGACCCAACTTATAGCCTAGGGGTTGTTCACTTTAATACTAAGCCTTATACTTTCTAGTCTGAGTTTATTAGGCCCTTTTGTATTTCAGGGTCCTAGGTAAATAGGAAGTTGATCATGGTCCCTACATATATTCAAGTAAATTACTACCGCCTTTCTGGTTTATTAGGCCCGCGCGTATCCTAGATCGATGATTTGCTCAACGTAATACAAGTTATATATAGTAGGAAAATTGCCCGTGCGTTGCAACGGGAGATGCAGGATTAAAAGACTATCATGATGGCGAAAATGGTCAAAGAACAAAAAACATTAAATTTTGAACACATCTACATATATGCGCATTAAGCTTTTTCAGAGATTTTTTTAAGATTTTAACACATTCACACTATTGCATACACATTACCACATCTAGATATATACATCAGCGATAGTAGCATGACATTTACATGTATATCACATCTATACATTAGCGGCAGTAGTATGACATAGCAGCTAGCTACTACAAAATTACAGTAGCATTGTGCCACCAATTTGTTTTGTTCATGTATTCATAGATGGCGATGTCCATATGGAGAAAGCAAAAGTGCAAACTATGAATTTGATTACCACAATTAAAAGCTGAAAGAACTCAGTCATGTAGTACTATTTTGTGAGAGAACTTGCATTATTTTCTCTAAGGAGAGCATGCTTTTGCCATGCTCCCCGCGGCTCTTTTGGGGGCTTCAGAGTGTTGTACAACAAGCAGAAGCACATTCTGGTGTCGATGCCATCCCTGGAGCTGTGTATGTTGTTCACTTGACCATGGACGTTGTGCTTCTGCTCTCTGTTGGAGCCTGGAGATGGGATCAGGACCTCGTGTGCGGACATTTCTTGGAGTTGGAGCCAGGATCACATGTTGTTGCGGGAGGCCGCAGCAGGGCTTTCCGGATAGCTTCTCCCTGGCGAGCCCGCCCACGCAACATGGTGAGCAGCTTGCAAGTGGAGACGGTGACCACCTGACCAGCGAGCTCCCGTCCACCAGGAGAAAGCACACGTAGAAGGACGTGGTGGCGCCCCACTCGGTTGGCGAGAAGAAGGCTACTCTGGTAACATGGGCGATGACGAAGTGGTCGGAGATAAGCGTTGTGTTCCAGGCCAAGCAAACCTCTCGGACACACTCACCGGCAGTGACTGGCAGGAGCATGAGGATCTCATCGACGAACATGTCGTCGTTCAGCAGCGGCTCGCCGGGCGACAACCAGATCTTGAAATTTGCCGATGAATTGTCATCGTTCGCACGGCCCGGTCAGGTCAATGTGTTAGACGAACATACTATGTCGATGGATTCACACCGTGCGTACCTAATATACAGAGAAACCATAGGCAGCTTCTTAGAGCCCCGATCTGAATATTTGATTCAGTTTTGTAGACGGATATCAGGTAGTGCAAACACAAAAAGTAGAAACGTGTATCCATCTCTGTCACGCTACGGGAGACCTTTTTTTTTGCATGGTAATACGTGTCTCATTCATATCATAAAGAACAAAATACAAGTCACGTAAAGACCGACATGACAAAACTGAACAGATAGCAGGACATCTCTGAGCTTGACACCAACGTCCGTCACCTGCCTCCGGCACCACCGCAGCAGCCACCGAAGAAAAGAATGACGAATCACCTCCTCACCCGATCTCGACGCGGCTCCATCGCTGATATGCAGCTTTACGGACCTCCAAGGTGGCTCACCAAAAGTGAAACCCTTACCGTTGAACGAATCAGACCGGGGCAACACTCCGGACACACCATCGAACTCCAGATCTGGCAGCCCACCACGACTAAAACGCCGAAGGAGGAAACCATATCTGCCATCCACCAACCACGAGCCCAGCACATGCTCCGTTTTCCAGATGTCGTCGATGCAGACCACAATCTGCATCCGCTCCTGAACTACCTCCCAAGCTCCGCGCCGACGCTGGAGCAAACGCCGTCGCAACGGCGAAGCCCGAGGACACAGGTCTACCACGAGGATGCCGCCGCCGCCACGCCATCCTTGCTTGAACAGACTGGTTTCCAAATCCATCCCCAATCATAGGACCGATGACCTCATTAGGAAAGGATCCGAAGAATCTTTATTCAGCATTGTCATTGTCGCCGCCGAAGCAAAAACGATGAACAACCTAAAAACCTAAACTACGAGAGAGTAAAAACGATCCACACACGTGGGTCCGGCGACCCCCCTCACCACCGACGACTGAGGTCGCCGGCGGAGGGGAGCCGCCGGAGAGCGGCGTTGGAAGATCGGCCTCCCCCTGGCGGCGGCTAGGGTTTCAGCCGCCAGGGACAAGAGGAAAACAGGGACAAGAGGAAAACGGAATAATTGATGATAACCCCCCCCAGTTCATGTCACTTTGATCATAACCCCCCCTTTGTGTCACTGACATGTGGGGTCTGGTCCCACATGTCAGTGACACAAAGGGGGGGTTATGATCAAAGTGACATAAACTGGGGGGGTTATCATCAAATCCCCCGAGGAAAACGGATGCTAGGTTGTTGTGTCCCTTTCTCACGCTACGGGAGACCCGAGAGACAGAAATCACGCAACCAAAAGCGAAAAGCGTACAGAAACCAGAAATTATACACTTAATAAACAATAGCTAGGTAGTGCAAAAAGCAAAAAGTGTATTGGGCTTGGGTGTTCGTTGCCTCTGGGTTTGTTTTTGCGCAGGTCGCAGGTTCGACTCCCGGCCGACTCCTTTATTTTAGTCCTTATTAAAGGACTGTGACCTATTATTGAAAAAGTCAAGGCCTTCTTTGTAAAGTGCAGACGAACCGTTTTTCCCACCTCAAATAAGTACCGCAGATTTATTACAAGAAAACTCAAGGGGTATTCTGCAAAACATCACGACGGACTAAGAATACCTATTTCTTTTATTAGTAGGTATAGATAGATTACAAAAACATACCATTTAAAAAAATCAAATGTTCTATTTTCTAATAGTATAACTTCTGTGATATATAATGCATATTACTCCCTCCGTTTTTATTTACTCCGCATATTAACTTTGGTTAAAGTCAAACTTTGTAAACTTTGACAAAGTTTATGAACAATTAACATATACAATAACAAATCAATACCAATTGATTCATTATTGAATGTACTTTCACATGATATATATTTGTTATAGTAAATGTTTATATTCTTTTCTATAAACTTGGTTAAACTTAACAAAAGTTTGACTTTAGTCAAATCTAATATGCATAGTAAATAAAAATGGAAGGAATACATTAGTAAAATTGATGACCCAGAGACATGCGCAGGACCTATAAACCGAAAAAGAGTAATTATAGTGATCCGGGGACATTTAAAAGTAGAATCAGTTTTTTTTAGAATCTCACAAAGCTTTATTACTGAATCAGAATGTTCATAGGTACAAAAAGAAGATCGCCGGGTTGTCCTAGCCAGGTGTGTTGGCAAAACCCTAAAGATAAAGCATGCTTTGTGAGATTATGGGCCTCCGTGTTGGAGGTCCTATACTCATGATTAAACGAACATGAAATAAAGGTAGTTGCTCTAGCCTTGATCTCTTGGACAATTGCTCCAAAGTATGCTGAGCTTCCTTGCATGATTGCATCTACCACCACCTTACAATCCGGGGCCACCAGTATTTGGTTGATGTAGAGATCTTCTGAAAGTGCTAGTGCCTCCCGAACAGCTAGTGCTTCTAGCACCTGGGGGCTGCGGAGTCCCCTAAAAACGAGGGCTGAAGCTCCCATGAACAAACCCCTCTCATCCCTGCAAACCACACCAACTGCGCCAAACATGCCCGAGCGTGACACAACAGCGTCCACATTGAGCTTGTACTGATCTATGGGTGGCGGAATCCACCTACGTGGTCGTGGTACTTCCATCCCCTGTGCGTTCTCCTTCTTCTTCAAGAACTCTATGTCTGACAAGTAAGCTTTGATGAAGTTGTCAGTGGCAAATGGAGTCTGGTGGATCTCTTCATGTATAGCTTTCCGCCTTGCACTCCAATTCGCCCACAAAGTAACGATCATCAACTTAAATTGCTCCGGTGGTGGAAGAGACTCATTCATAGCAAAGAGCCATAACATTGCATCAGGTTCCGATGTTGCCAACATGTGCTCGACCAGCTCGGCTTCTAAAAGTTCCCACACACACCTAGACACATTACAATCCAGCAAGGAATGTCGCCAGCTATCCTTCCCACCACAAAGTGAGCAAGCACTCGTAGTGGCCATGTGACGATGGCTTAGGACATCTCCCGTGGGGAGCGAGTGTTGCGCCAATCGCCAAGTGAAAAAGCGCAGCTTCGGTGGCACTAACATCTTCCATAGCGAGTTCCATCCCCTCATCTCATGCTCAGAGTTGGAAGGATCCTCCCTTTCCTCCAGCCATGCCTCGCGCCCAATCTTGATTTTGACAATCATCTTATAAGCTGGCCGTACAAGAAGCGTCCCCTTGGATCATCATTCCATG